CAGTTCCTTCAGACGCAGTTCCACTTTCAGACTCAGTTCCACTTTCAGTTCCTTCAGACTCAGTTCCACTTTCAGTTCCTTCAGACGCAGTTCCACTTTCAGTTCCTTCAGACGCAGTTCCACTTTCAGTTCCTTCAGACGCAGTTCCACTTTCAGTTCCTTCACACTCAGTTTCACTTTCATTTCCTTCAGACGCAGTTCCACTTTCAGTTCCCGCAGACGCAGTTCCACTTTCAGTTCCTTCAGACGCAGTTCCACTTTCAGTTCCTTCAGGCGCAGTTCCACTTTCAGTTCCTTCAGACGCAGTTCCACTTTCAGTTCTTTTAGACTCAGTTCCACTTTCAGTTCCTTCAGACGTAGTTCCACTTTCAGTTCCTTCAGACTCAGTTTCACTTTCAGTTCCTTCAGACGCAGTTCCACTTTCAGTTGTTTCAAACTCAGTTACACTTTCAGTTGTTTCAAACTCAGTTACACTTTCTGTGTCATTCTCTGTTACTTGAAGTAGGAAACGTGAGGCATGTTTATCATTGTATTTAATTACGTCCGTCGTTACGTCTGAAAGTTTGTAAAGGTGTGTTAAAAGACAAACGATTGCACTATTTCTATATAGTATAATATGCATAATGATATTAGTCATCATGTATGTGGAAAAATATGTTTGATATTTCTTATTAAAACTCTAAAATAGGAACGATGAATTGTAAAATTATTTCCAGAGGATCCTTGTACTAAACAGTGCTAATAAGGAACCTTAAAATTTTTCATCCCTTATTTCCCCATCCCCTGAAGTGTATGAATGCAAAATTTGTTTCGCCACGTTTGTTTTTAAAAGAGCTACGTATTTTTTCCATTTAATTTTGTTTGCGTTTGTTCAAAAATGTCTAAAATGAATGTCTCAAATTTCAGCTATAAGGGGCTCTCATATAAATTTTTATAATATAATTATATCGCAACGAATGAATAAAAAATGTATATGTCTATAATTTATAATATAGAATTTTCTGAAGTAGATGAAGTTCATGCAAATTTATGCAAAGCTTTCAAATAAACAAAAATCTATATTCTATAAAATGCTTACGGGTGATTCTCACGAAACATGACAATTCGGAACGAAAAATTTCTTCAAATTTGAAATCTTCCGAATAATCTAAAAAAATTTTTGTATACTTCTTTAGCTACACTTA